TTTCGTTACTGGCGTTTTTTTTTTTTTTTGTTTTCTTCACTAAGTATCCGTTATTAACACTAATACTCTCTTGGTGTATTTATTACTAAGAACGTTTGGTATCGAAGGGAAAGACGGCTTTTTTTTCATTTTTTCCGCATCGTTTATCCTCAGTTTATTAATTCATTTCGTTTTTTCGTTATTTCCCTATTCTATCCTCAGTTTCTTTCTTTTTTTTTTTTTTCGAAATTTTTACGCCGTGATCGATTCGAGAAAAAGAAAAATCGAAAAAATATTCGTTGATCGACGCTAAGTCTTGGATGGGAATTCTAGTCGTGGTTTTTCCTCTTTTCTTTCTTTCTTCTTTTCTTTCTGTAATAATCTCTATTCTTCGCTTTACTTTTCGCTTCGAGAGGCGGGCAAACCTTTATTTCTATTATTTCTATTTATTTTTTTTTTTTCTGTGCATGGTGGATGAAATTAAAAGTGAGTGAAACATAAGATTCCGATTTGCAAAAAGGAATGGCAGCTGTCGGGACGAATTGTACATCTTTGAACATTTTTTTCCCCTATTTGAGAATTATTTATTTCGTGAGAAATGTTTTGGTTTGGCCCGCGTTCGAAACAGAGGCGTCAAATTTCACGTGAATCGGGAAAATTATTCGAAAAGACTCGCCTCTATACCCGATAATAGGATCACAATTGAAAAACATCTCGTCGCCCTATATTCATATGGCGCTACTGAACCACTTTTTTAATTATGGACATTCGTTTAATTATTGTACTTATAGTTTTTTTTTTTTATACATACAACTCACGTACTTTATTATTTTTTTTTCTCGTTATCTAAACTCTATATGTATGTACATATTCTAGATGCGGGCACGAAGGAACTCGTCCGTCTATTCTATTCAATTTCCTTTCATTCGTCTCTCGTGGTCTATCGAACGTTTCGGCGCGAAAAAAGGAAACAAGATGGCGTATTTCAAAATTCTGAATGAAAATTGATATTCGTTTTGAGGAATAAAAAAAAAGAAAAAATTAATCAAGATTACAATAATTTCATTGTACAGAATATATCCTGTAATAAATAGAAAATATGTTTAAAAAAAATAGTAAGTTTAAAAAAAATAGATATAAAAATGTATCTTATTTGATCTCGTTTACGAAATGTAATGAGTTTCGTATCGAATAATTTTTTAAATTTTTCAAATTTATTATTTATTTTGTTTATTATATTTCTATGGTCTACGAATAAGAAATAAAAATAAATGAGAAAAAAAATGATATTAGGTCTTATCCATTTTTCAAAATTTGTTCGAAATATTGAAATATTATAATTCAAAATAAATTTGTTATATTTTAGTTTAAAATAATGATTTATTGAAAAAAATAATCAATTTATTTATTTTCTTTGAAGATAATCAGAAACAAAATGACGGATTGTAAAACTCATTGTATTTCGCAAACAAAGTCAAATAAATAAGATATATATTTATATGAACTTTTTTCCTCGTTTTTCACTTAAATCAGTTCATGAAAAATTTTTCCCACTTATTATGATTGTTTCTATATATGACTAGAATTATAATTCTAATAACAGAGAAAAGTGAAAAATGATTTTACGTTTTAAAAAAATAAAATGTGTTTAAAAAAAAAGGGATAAATGTAGAAAAATCACGTATCACGTTCGTAGGCGTATCGTTCTAACGATCTTTTCTAAAAAAAAAAAAAAAAAAAGCTATGTGTACATCTTTTCTTTTCTCGAAATAACGTTTTTATCCCTATATACACGAGTAATTTACAAGTGTTGAATCTTTCCCCTCTAATACCAACGACAACAAAGAAACGTAACGAGAAAGAAAAAATAATGGGAAAAATGAACGAAAGAAAAAAAGAAAGAAAGAAAAGAAAAACGAAAAAATGTCTGTGTGTATGTGTATACATATTTATATATAATATATATCTATATTTCGATTAAATTTCCTCTTTCGTTTTCGTTTCTTTCAACTTTATTTCCAATGCTCATATATATTCGTCGAGCATTACCATTGTATCTTTTAATTTCTCTTT